GTTTGAAAATTCAAAAAAAAAAAAAAAAAATTGATGGACGTTTGAAAATTCAAAAATGACTTAAAAATTATTTTTATATTGTTAGTCAAACAAAAAAAGGACATATTTTAAAGAAAATTAGTTTTTAAAATTTTTATTCAGAAGATATTTTTCAAATTCTTTTCTCACAATCAACTCCATTTCCTTCTTGAAATCTCATCCAAAATCTCCAAAGCACAAATTCTCCGACTATGGTGCCATCCTCCTCACTCCCCAACTAGGTACATTCTCATTCATGTGTAATAATTCACAAACCATACAAAAGATGTAAACTACACTAGAAAAATATAATGTAACAAATTGATCAAAAGACGACATAATTTAAATTCGTGACTTTTTTATACAATATCTAATTTTTTTCTACATATATATAAAGGGAAAATGGCATTTTTTCCCCCTATGTTATATATTTATAGCACTTTTTCCCCCTTAATTATTTAAGTGGCTCTTTTTCCCCCTGAAATGTTAAATGGACATATTTACCCTTAAAATAAATATTTCATTTATTTTTATTCTCCAATAAATTATTACTATAATTTGGTTCAAACCAGATACTATAGTAACCAAACCAAAATATTTCAATTACAATTTATAATCAAAATGCGATATTTAGAGTTTATTAAAATCGCGAATTGGAATGGCCGGTTCATGTTCCGAACTGAAAAATAAAATACATTTATTGTTGAATTTAAACTATTTTAAAATAAAAAATAAAATTTTAAAATAAAGATGGTTCAAAATCGCGAACGGGATCCGGAACCGCCGGTTCATGATCCAGTTTTTTTTTTTATTCTTAAATTTAATAAATTGAAATCCAAATATTGGGTTCTAGATCTGAATCATAACTGAAAACTTTTAATTCGATTGCTATAGTGTCTGGTTCAGTTCGAACCGAACCGTGGTAATCGCTACATATACGCAATAATTTGTTGGAGAAGTAAAATAAATAAAATGTTTACTTTAAGGGTAGAAATGTCAATTTAATATATTAGGGGGGAAAACCACCACTTTTAAAATAATTGAGGGGACTAATGTGCTTACATAAATAATTGAGGGGGAAAAAGTGCTTTAAGTATATAACATAGGGGGAAAAAGTGCCATTTTCCCTATATATAAATTAAGATTCGAATTTAAGGACATACACTCAAACAAATGAATTATAATTTAACATGACTATTGAATATTCCAATCAACATAAAAAAGGAAAAAACAAAGAGCACATGCAAGTATGCAACCATGACCCATTGACCCAACATATATAACCCACAGGATTACAAAATGGAAAATCCATCTTAGAAGTATTCAATGAGAGAGACAGTGGATGAGATCAGAATGTTCACACTGTCACATACTCATATATATATATATATATATATATATATATATATATATATATATATATATATATATATAAAACTTCCTCCCGTAAAAAGAAAGTAACAATTGATTTCATCTGAGGGTTTTAATAAAAAAAAATAGAGTTATTTTTATAATTATTGTAAACTTTTTAAATTTACAATATTTATATATATATATAAAAAAGAACCTATCTTTTTTCACTTTATTTTCATCAACCCTCCATCGTTGATCTACGCAGATGGTGATTTTTGTAAGTGTAAATATAACCTCTTTATTATTGGCTTAGATTAGTTGTCAAAGTAGTCCTGGATTAGTCACGTCGTCTGGAGTAGTTGACTGGATCAGCGCGATAAAGTAATCCAGGAGGTATGAAGCTTCTTCAAAGTATTTATTCAAGACCCTATCAATAGGGAGATCTAAATCTAATGGAGCAGCCGAAATCAAGGAAGAGAAGAGTGCATGTTTTGAAGATCAAAACATCATTTACAACCTATATATAATGCTACCTTAATTAGCATTCGATCACGCACTCTTTTCACATAGCTTTACTCTGAAAATCTTGGTGCATCTATACCAAATCTATACTGTACTGTTGAGTGTGAAGAAAGGCTCGTAATCAGATCATGAAAAAATGAAGATCGCCTGCACATCGGATCCACTGGAGTAGGTTCTGGAGTAGTTATAGGTTATACTTTAGTGTGTAATTAACTCTCCTCGTGTACTCCGTTTTTATCATAGTGGATTTGGGTTGATGTGAGTGGTCCCGCAGACGTAGGAGTGAGGTTCCGAACTGCGTGAACATATCCTGGTGCATGCTTTCTTTTACTGCTATTTATTTTATGTTCATTCTTATATCTGGAGTATGTTTGCATCTAGTCCAGCTTTATAATTGAAATAAACTTAAAGTGCTTACAGATAAATCTTGCATTCAAAACTCACGTGCTTTTTCAATTCTAATCAATCATCACTTTTTATATGAGAACATGTTCTCACCTAAACGGTCTAATATATATATATATATGAGAGATAGGGAGATAATTTATGGTGGTGGCCTACCTCAAAATATGGTGCTCCTTTATGATCATTAATCTATGATATATCGTTAGATTTATCAAAATTGGTAACTAACCAATTAAAAAGATCACAGGGCTGTGAAATTCAACAATCATTTTGGCATTTTTTAAAAACAACCTTTGACTTGTTCCACCCAAAATTCTTTGTGGAAACCCAAAAGTCAGTCTTACTTTCATTTGCTTTTGATTTCTCTCGACGTTCACACATCTTTTGTGAGCTAATAACTTTCTGTGTGTTTTCTACGTTGTTGTTTTCTTCGGAGTAGGCCTTGAAAGTGTTTTGTGAGTCTGAAACCTCACTGTTAGGTTAAATTCACATTTGTTTAATAATTATTAGTCAAATATCATACAGAAAAAATGTAAAATTGAAACAAATTTGTAAGTTAAGGATGAAAAATGGCAGTTTTAATTGAACCATTCACAAAATCATCATATTTGACCGAAAATATTATATTACACAAATTTATCAAAGTAATCGAGTAATTTCACATAATTTACTCTATTTTCCACTCAAGAAAATTCGCGACCACTACCTAATAGTATGTGTTGAGTAAACTCCGCTCCTGTTTAATATTTCATATTTTCATAAATCACATAATAGTGGAAAACCATTCTAATTTTTTTTTTTTTTACTACAAATTCACTTGAAAGAGCGTAAATAAGAATCGAACTCCTAACTTTTACGTCCGACTATCTATTTATTATTTACTATATATTATATGGCAATACAAAAAAAAAAAAAAAAAAAAAACATACATGAAATGAATGGACATGATGGAAGACGGTTCATATATGCACCGACATACAATTTTAATTGGTTTTTAAAATTTTCTAATCGTCAGGATTGAAAAATTAAAGAAAACCTCAACAGCCAAGACAATGGAGATGTAAGTAATTAATGAGGAAATCTACAAATTATTTCTCATTATTTTAAGATAATAAGATGATTATTTTCTACTCCAGTTCCGCGTAGGAAAAAAATGGTAGGAAAACCCCACTAACGACCAATAAATATCTTTATTTTTCTAATGAAAAAATATGAACCATACGACAAGAGTCTCAATTTTTAATGTTTTTTTTTTCTATTTAAAGTTGCTTTCTAATGTGACAAAACTCTTTATTATTTTAATTACATATTTATAGATTGCTATGATTAACATGATCATGAGTAAAAAATACAAGAGTTCACATAGTAATTAAATATATATATATATATATATATATATATATTAATCAAATAATGTCACACATCTCCCAACCAAAAATGTTTTGCGACCTTAATCGACATAAAAGACCATAAAGAGGTAAACCAATTTAATTTTTTTATGATTGTTTAAGTCAATCATAAAAGTCAAACATTTTAAATATTATGATTGCTAAGTTAATTATCCGATCAACTTAGCTATGAATTATACTATTAAATCTCTTTCTAATATAAGTCTAGATGGACTAATAATATATATACCCATAGCGTGTACTTTTCTTTTTGTCAAGGCAAATTAAAGGGTTCCATTATTATGTTGTCAAAGTACAAGTGAGGGAGGAAGAAGGGAATCTTTAACTAGTTCCAAGACTCATTGTTTACAATATAATAAGGGACTATATACCTTTAACTATTTTTATTTGAGAAGAGTTTGATCTTGAACTCCTTATTAACCTCGCGCACATATACAAAGTCAATCAAAAGATTTTTTATGTATTCTGAGTGAATTTGACCTTGTGACTCTAGCCGGTTAAGAATCACAAGAAGGTAAATCAGCTTAGAATGACACTCATAGCTGATCGACTCAAACTAAGAATACTAATAGACAATTTTCACAAAGAGTTGAAACTTTGTGGTTACGCAACCAATTGTTTTATACCAAGCACAAGGATATATATATATATATATATATATATATATATGTGTGTGTGTGTGTGTGTGTGTGTGTGTGTGTGTGTGTGTGTGTGCGCGCGCGCGCTTTTGTGTATTTGGGTAACGAGAAAAATCAACAGTCGAGAATGTACACTGGGTAACAAATCAATGGGTTTATAGTATATTTATTATAATAAAGTAAAAATAATGTTTTGAGACATGTCAATCTTAAAAAATATAAGTACAGTGGAACAAACTCTAATCAAACATTCAACAACAAAATAAGAACTGTAACTAACATACAAAACCAAACACAAACATCTAATGAATGATGAATATAATGTTGAGCTACGACAGGCCGGATGTAACTTTGTATTCAGATCAGATGTTGATAGTATAGGTAGTTGGTGTGTGTTTTTTGTGACACTCACAGAGAGAGATAGAGATATAGAGAGAGAGAAAGGTGACGATGCTGATGATGAATTGTATGAGATAGTGAGGATATAGTAGATTCCAGAATAACAAGGAAAGACAACCACAAAACATTAGATAGACTGGCCACCTCTGTCATTCAAATTGCCTCATTATTTATTCACATACTTTTTATTTTTTATTTTTATTTATATAAAAAAAAATGCATCTTTTTCCTATCCCACTTTTTGAAATAACAATCCATCCCATGTCGCTTCTTCAATCTCCAGCTATTATACTCTTCATCTCCTGCCTCTCCTGTATATATAGAGATTGAGTTATATATATATATGTGACAGAAAAACATCATCAGATCAACAACATTAGTTCCTAAACTTATTATTATTGCTAGATAGCAGAGAACATGGGTAGAGCTCCTTGTTGTGACAAAGCCAACGTCAAGAAAGGGCCATGGTCTCCCGACGAAGATGCCAAGCTTAAGGCCTATATCCACCAACACGGAACCGGCGGCAATTGGATCGCCCTTCCCCAGAAAATAGGTATCCCGGCCCGACTGAAAGTTTAAGCTGATAATAAGACTGAACGTTTATTATTTATATATATTATATGTTTGAGTCTTTGTAGTGTTTTGATTTCTTGATGGCGATTTAATTTAAGTCAGGCCTAAAGAGATGTGGGAAGAGTTGTCGATTAAGATGGTTGAACTATCTCCGACCAAACATCAAACATGGAGAGTTTACTAGGGAAGAAGACAACATTATCTGCGCTCTCTACCTAAGCATCGGTAGCAGGTATATATATATGTGTGTGTATATAGCTAGGGTTAATAAGTGTTTGCTATTATATGTTAGTTTATTATTGTTAGGCGACAGCTTAGAGAATCGAGTCGAATTCAGCAATCTGCTGGTGCTGACTGTTACCTAAGTAGAATGAAATAAAGTTGTGAGTGTTTGATTTGACATTTATACTTGATTTGAATGTTTTAAGGTGGTCCATTATAGCGGCACAGTTACCTGGGAGAACAGATAATGACATCAAGAACTACTGGAACACAAAGCTGAAGAAAAAGCTCCTAGGTATCAAGCAGAGAAGGGATCATTCGCAGGAGATGATGTCAAGCAAGGAAAGGGACAAGTTGCAGGCTGATCAGACGGCGGCGATGAATAATGTATGCCCGCCGCCGGTAGCGTTTCCGGCACCGGAAGTTCTATGCGAATATCCTATGTACACGACCATGGATTGCATAACCAACAGTTATTCATCGTCGTCTTTCGCGACTAACAACTATTCACCCCTCGTCATGAGTGATGTCATAGCTACAAATGATGTTTTCCGACCAGCTTTCAGTTTCCCAACGACTGCGCTCAACCACCACGACTTTCTGTACGGTTACAATTCGCCGCCGCCGCAGCAGCAGCTAGCAGACAGATTTGAGAGCCTTTCTGGGGTGGAAATGGTGAATAGCAGTACTATAACTTCTGCTTCTTCTTCAGAAGGCACAAGTAGTAACTGGGAAGATATAAGCTCTCTGGTTTATCCACCGCCAAAAATGGTGTCCACCAATCATCATCTTGATGAGGTTTGTCCTCCCACCATGTTTTCAATGGGATTCAAACCATAACATGCTCTGATACCAATTATCAAGATACCACTATGGCAAAAGTTATAGTTAGTAGCGAATGTGCAATTTTATTTTATTAAACTTGCATAGCAGTCAGCGCCACATTTCGATGACAGGATCTCCGAACCCACATTTTGTTAATCCCAGTGAACTTAGCTTTCAGTGAATGAATCAGGAAATATATATGGGTGTACGATTATTATTAATAATATTATTATTATTATTGCACTATCATTTTCATTTCATATTGATTGGCGATCATATTCGATCTTTAAAATCTTGTGTCAAAGAAAATAAAATAAAAACTTTTTATTGTTCTTTGTATATTTTAATTTATTGATTATTTGTATCATATCATGACCTAGTACTGTACTTGGATTAAAAATAAAATAAAATAAAATAAAAAAGCAAACCCAAAGTTGGAAAGGTGTTCTGACGTTTTGGCAACAACTTGATAGGATTTTGCATGGAGGGGTATCAAGAAATGGCAGCTTCCTCTTAGGTTTTTCTTCATGAATGTAATCAATATATTTTTTAGCAACATAGGTGGTGGACAGAATATTTTAAGTACATGCCATGTTCCTAAATCCAATTGATCACAACAACACTGTAGGGATACAATATTGTCGGATGTCTCTTTGATTACTTAGTTTGATGAGAAAGATAAATATATATTATTATTGACACATATCTTGCAACCTCTATTCAAAGGCGCATTCTGGATGAAGGAGATCAAATCCTTGTGACCCTAAACTGCAAAAGATTACAAGAAAGTAAACTCGTCAAGATAATTTTGGTGACTAACTGATTCAAAGAGTTGAGCCAAACTGATCGATCAATTCAACTTGGGGTGCCCTCATTATTGATACATACTTAATTTCATTTAATAATAAAATTTAAACCCGTAATCAATTAGAAGTTTCCAGATCAAGAAGCCATTCATTTTTTAACCCTAGTATCATAAAGGTATTGGTCACATTTGTCAAAGCTTAGGCAACTCCAATCCCATATCCAACCATTCATTAAGGATAACATGCATTAATTAGCAGAAGTGGAAAACAACATATGGCAAAGGAATTGACATGCTACTTCTACAAAATTATTGTGTATGCATGTCAAACTTTATATCATTTGATGACATAGAACGAAGCGGCTATGTCAAATATTATAATCATGCATTCATATCCATTGTTACATGTGAATTGACCAATTTAACTATGAATTAACTAATAATGACACTTGCCTCTATTCTTTAGGATCAATTAAAGTTGATGGGAGAGATTAGAAATATCAACTATATGCTCAAGCAACTATTTAGTAGTCCCTCTATTTTATATATATATATATATATATATATATATATATATATATATATATATATATATATATATATATATATTTGAGTACTACTGATTGTTATAATGTAGTATCTGTTCATAACTACTTTCTCAATCTAGTACTGAAGCACAAAGAGTCAATACCATCTCTACTGACACTGACGCTTGAACCCACGATCTCCAATATGAGAGAGCAACTTGATGCCATTATATATCGTGTGTGGTTATGTTGTATCTCTCAGCCCGTTCATAGAGTAGAACTTGAGAGTATAAGGAGTAATATTTTCCTATAGTTTATCCATCCATCATACATGCCACAACAACTAACGTATAGTACTAAGAAGATAGACTAGGTCTTACATTAAAACCCATTCATTTGTATAGTGGTGCGTGGATGTATCCAATAATAATTAATGAAGCTAGCTAGCATAGGTAAACTGTTGCACTTTTTCATACGCATATAATCGATCAGCTTTTGATTATGAACTACTACTGGCTAGCTAGCTAGAGCATAAAAAGGTGCATGTAAAGCTGTTTTGCACTTTGATACCAAATAATATTGTTCACTTTAACTTTTTTACCCGGTCAAGAGATTTCTATTCTGTTTTTAAATCTCCTTTCAGCTAACCTTTTTCTTCACTTTTGTTCTTTTCTCTATGTTCAAACTTCAAAAACTCTTGTTTAATTTATGTACTTACTACTTGCTTTAAATTAAATGATTTCTAATTCTTTTTAGCAATTTAAATTATTGTTTACGTCAGAAGCAGCATTATGTAGTATATGGGAAATCAAGACTAGTTGGTTTGCACTCATTAAAATAATTGATGTCAACAGTATCAAGTACAATCATGTATGATATACTTTATTCTATTGAGTACTATTATTGGTATTACTGTTGGTAATATTCAATATAACAAAAAATAGTACTCCGTATATCACTACTGAAAATTATGGAATTTCCGACCACCTGAAAATGATATTAAATAAGTTGAAAGCCTTGTTCCGACCACTTTTGGTGTCCGAAAAAACCTTTATAGCTATTTCCGACCACTTTTTGCTTTCGATTTGATTTAAGATCATTTTCAGGTGGTCGAAAATTCCATAATTTCCAGTAGTGTATACATGATTGTACTTAAATTAGTACTATCACTACCAATTTCAATTATTTCATAATTAAATCTTATGTTATAGTTAAATGGTGAACATTCTAACTTAGCTTATTTAACCTTTAATATAGGCTTGATTTTTAATAACATTCTGCCTCGTTGGGCATAGTTTAACTGGTCAACTAACATAACTTAAACTAAGTTCATATGTTTTGGTTTGTTAACAGTCACTTGGTACAAAATAGGGAGGTAAAGATTTAATTAGCTTTGTTCATGAATTTGGTTTTGTTTAAGCACTAGGTGATTTACATTGACCCTTAAGTTTGGAGTTCAATTTTTTCCTAATTAAATCTAGAAACTTTAGAATGTGGTTCCTCATTTTTTTTTTTTTTTTTGAAAACCAAACACAAATAACTTCATTAAAACAACGACGAAATACAAAGTAGAGGGACTGTGTCCCAAACACCTAGGACAGACATAGAATCAGTCGCTCGTGCTAACACGTGAGCTACATGATTCGCTGACCTTAAGATATGGCGGACTGAAACATCCCCAATATCCCTGGCAATATCAACACATTGCCTAATAACCACACCAACATATATTGTGTGAGTTATTTATAGCTTTCTTATTTGCCTAAGAAATAAATCAGTAGCATCAGCTTGATTATTACCTGTACCAATTGAGACATTTTTTAAAAATTTTGTGATATAAAATTTTATCATATTATTGCTTACATAGTATGTGCTGAAGTAGTTTTTTCCTCTACCATATTAGTTGGGAATTGAGAGTCGAGATTGAAATATTTTTAACTCAAATGGATGACTATAATCTATCCCTATAAATAGTATAGGCTGCTGAACATGATTATGCTAACATTCTTGATTGAAATAAAACTCGAACATGTAACCTTCCGCTCAAACTGCATTATATTACTTTTTAACACTTTTCCCTAAAAAGAAAACTCAACTCTTTCTCTCCTCTTAACACTTTGGACAGGTATATCCTTTTTATTGGCAAATTATTATGTGGACCCGAGTCTACCTTGCAAGATAAATCCGGGTCTAAAAATACACAATTTATATACTGAATGTTCACAATTTACATATTGAATGTTCTCAATTTTTATATACTAAATAATATTCACAATTTACATATTGAATGTTCTCAATTTTTATATACTAAATAATATTCACAATTTACATATTGAATGTTCTCAATTTTTATATACTAAATCATATACTAAATCATGTTCACAATTTACATACTGAATGTTCACAATTTACATACTGCATGCTCACAATTTACATATTAAATGTTCACAATTTACATACTAAATGCTCACAATTTACATATTGAATGTTCACAATTTACATATTGAATATTCATAATTCAAATTGTGAACATTAAGTATAAATTGTGTATTTTGACTTGGATCCACCTTGCAAGGTGGACCGAGTCCATGGCATAACTATTTCTTTTTTATTCAACATGGCCTAATTTCTTGGATCATGACTTGATATTGGGCTGCTCATGAAATATATTCTGTACTTTTTTGATTGGGTGGAGCAGACCAAACTTCACAAAAGCCCCATTTCTTAGGGCTTTGTTTTGTGTTTTATTGATTCCACACTGTCAATGTTTTAAACTGTTTTTTTTTTTTTTTTTTAATGAAAAGATTAGGTTAAAAAAAAAATAGCTGCTAAAATAAAGAATTAAAACATCTTCACAAGTCAAATTGATCAAAAAATTGACTTAGGAACCACAAAATATAATTTGGATGAAGTTGGAGGGGAGGACCTCGAGGGGAGACTAGTCTCATTCCCTCACTCTGCAAATACTAGTTGCACCCATTTTGATGCGAAGTGAAGTAAATCCCATGAGGTTTCTTGAATTGCCTTTTCATAAGTGAACTATTAAGGTATCACTATCATAGTTATTGACAATATAAGAAAAGATTATAGTAGTTGGTGGATGACAAGTTTATTTATGAGCCTTAGCACGATTGACTAGTTGATAACATTAACTGGTTGTAAAAAAATGTTTGGTAAATTAGCTGTTAGTTGATAGTTGATTACATGCAAAATGATCTTTAAGGGTATAATTTATTTTCTCAAAAACCTGATTGAAAAAACTGCTTTGAGCCGTTTTTTTGAATTTTAGTGTTTTGGAGCAACTACTATACAAAAAACTATCAAACACTCATATATATTGACGTATTAACCAAGTCAAACAGCTAATAGTGGTATCAAACAAGCTAAAATTGGCTATAAAGTATATATGTTACCAAACAGACCAAAATTACAATCTAACTAACCCACTACTACATATTGCAGATGGAATATAATTTTGATGTCAAAACTTGGGCCACACGAATGGAATTAGGGATGCAAAATGAGGGACCCACGGTGGGATTTTTACTGTAGCAGTAAAGAGTATGTCAAAGTCAAACCTCACCAAACTGGAATACATGTGGATGAAGGTGTAACTTCTGAGAAATTGTGTGAGAAAGCTAAGTATAGCAAGGAGTTTCCGACAAGATCAGATGGAGGCACTACATGCACTCAATCTCGGCAGATCAGATCAGAGGAAGAAAACGTGGTTCAATTTACGTTGATGTAAGTCGTCGTGGTCGGTGCTTTTAGCGTCAACCACGAACATTTCTACGTCAAAATTAAACCTTTTCATGGGTTACAACAAGCTAAGGTGGTCAAGCACGCACGCCCATATTCACTCTTCAAACTTCTCTTCTTTAATATCAATTCACCGTGAAACCTAGTCTTAAGTTACATATATATGTGTAACAAA